TTTCTCAAAATTACATAAAGCCATATTATAACATCGACTGAGATCAAGAATAAAATAAAATATTAAAATCATGATGTATCTTACTGCATTATACAAATACGTTTTTAATATATATTTAAAAGAGAGGAGCGAGGTGTGGGTATTAAATTGGAATTAGCGTCAAATTTCAATGGGAAGAAAGGACAAGTAGAAAAAGGGTATGGGAAGCTACAGATTGACTTTGTGATCTCATAAACAAACACCACACCTAACGACACATATTCCTACTTACCCTCTCTGCCATCTCTTTGTTTATAATTTCAAACTCAATTTTCAAATTCTCAATACCAATTTTTATTATTATTCATTTTTATAAACCAAATATTTCTCTTTTTTATATAATAAAAACACGGAGAAAATAACAAAAGCTAAATTTGACTTTTGTCTTGTTGAATGCATTTTTTATTTAGATGCAAAAATCGATTTCCAATGCGTGTGTTCAGCGTTTCGACCACGCCATTCATGTAAAATATATGCACGCCATTTCACACCCCAGTTTGCACGTCGTCTATTTCTTTTTTACACCCATCACAGCATTAATTTGCACAAGACACATATCAAAATTAAACAACATTTAATCAATTTGTTACATAGGACAATCCAAATATATTAATAATTATTAGCGGTGCGAAAATTACACACTTGAGATATTAATTGTCAATGTCAATGTGATATGTATGTACGCTGCTCCATCGAATCCTCCTTTCTGATGCTATATCAAAATCGTTGAGAGACGGACATGTGGCGACGCCTGATTTGTGGTGAGACGATCGAGATGAGACCTCCGAGGGGAGGCTTCATCTTTGATCGGTAGATCATCTCGTCGTACGGTCGTCGGTAGAATCTTAGGAACGGAACAAAAGATTCACGACACTTGTCCATCTTGCTTACATGGCACGACTCCCTCTTGAAGAATAGTGCAGGTGAGTGTAGGAACGATGGTTTTGGGGTTCGTGGTTGGTTGATGGTCGAGTGGTCCATCACTTGGGTTTTTTGCGGCAAGGGAGTTGATGGGAAGAAGCTCTTTCTCATCGTATTTATGTTTCTTGCGGTTGGGGATGCGAACGAGTAGGAACGGGCGTTGACGGGTGATATGAGGGCGGGTCCTAGCACCGGGGTGGATGTGGGACCCACTTTGAAGGACGGTTTGTCGGTCAAGGTGAGATACCAAGGCTTGAGCGAGTCAAAATGGTGGGAAACGGTGAAAGAAAAGCGTGAAGAGGAGCAAGACCCGATTTTGGCCTTGGAGGGATTATTTTGATTAAAACGGAGAGATGCGGCTCGTGGGTACGACGTAAAGTGATTAAAATCAGGGAACTCATCAAAATCAAGCGAGGAAACCATTGTGGTGATGGATGATAGCTCAATAAATGCCTTGACACCCTACAACAATCACAAATATTAAAATCACAAGTTGATAAAGTACGAGTATATATGGTTTGATATTGATATTGATATTGTGTGTTGGTGGGATTATATGTTTTACCTTCCACAGATATGGAAAAAGGGATGGAGGGTCAATGACAAAAGCTTTGTGAAGGCGGCCAGGATAGTGTTCCCCTATCGTCTTCAGTGCTGCCACCAATAAGTTCATAAACCCTGATGCTGACCTGAAAAAGCCTGCAGGCATTTTCTTACCCTTCAGTACTTGCCCCCATTCTCTTCTCAACTCAAATAATTTTTATATTATTATATATAACTCATAAATTCATACAACAGTTTCAAACTAAAAACATAAAATTTGAAATGAAAAGGAAAAGGCATTTGAATGGATTCAGATTCACTAGGGTTGTCGTTACTAACGTTATCTGGGACCAATCATCCATGATAGCTATGGTCAACAAAACAATGATATTAATGGCCACCAACAAAAGTGCTTGACTTTAAAATTAATGATTATATAATTTGCAAGTGACGATTAATTAAAGTAATCTTAACTTCTTCTTTTTTTGTCAATTAGTGTAAAAATAGATAATGCTCTTTTAGGTTGTTTTATTGTAGGTAATTTAAATATCATCGTTACCAAATTAAAGAAGGAAAATATAATTGCCAATTCAAGGAGTAAATGAGTGGTGATTAATTGAGACAATTTCTGAAACAAAGCTTTACCGGTTTTCTGACACATATAAGTCGCCATCAAAGTTAGATCAAGTTACACATTAATTATGTCATTAGGCGTGACTTATAGAAGCTTATTAATTAAGAAGAGAGAGAGAGAGAGGGAGAAAGAGAGAGTGTGTGTGTATACAAATGAAAGAATGAATGGGGCGTGATATGGTTGGCAAAGGGGCATTTCAGACTGTGAAAAAGAGGGTTTTTGGGAAGGACAACGTTGGAAGAATGTACATTAATTTCCAACATCCAACTGACGTAAAGCTCGTCTAAAGGGAAAACTCATGTTTTGTCCTTAGGATACTCTTCCAATGTTAATCTCTTTTTAAGTTTTTATTCTCAAACTATTTTCATTTGTAAAAAATATAAATTAAGGATTGAAGATTGATTGTTAATTTCAAAGCATCTATTAGGTAAATAGTGGTGGCATTGGCTACCACTAATTTATTTCTGTAAAAAAAATAACGATCCTTAGAAGATATCACTAATAATCATTTTGTGTTCAACTAGACATCGTTATCGGAAAATTGAAAGGTTAATAATAAAAATGTACAATTAATTTTTATTTTATTTAAATTACAATAATTATTTTGTGATACATCAAAGAAAAAAGATATGAATCTGCTTTAGCTCCAAAGTCTCATTGAATTAGTCGAATTATGTGTAAGATAAGCTAAACATTTTATTTAAGTATCATAATATTATAATATTAAAATTTGAGATTTAATAAGCTATATAAATAATGTCTTAATTTGAAGGTAATTGGTAAAGTATTTGTTTGACCTATTGAGAAGTATTACAATCATTGAGTAATATATATATATATATATATATATATATATATATGGGAATCTAGTTTTTAAATTATTATGTAACAATTTGTCAAATGGTAACCAATTTTTCAAAATGAGAGACTTACTTGCATCAAATAAGACAACCAACTGATCCACGGATTTTGCCATTGTTTGAATTGCAACCTCCAAAGTGAAAACCAACAAACGGGTGAACCTGTACATTTAAAAATTATAATATTACCAATGCATACATGTACCTATATATACAAAGAAAGAGAGGGAGAGAGACATGCAAAATTTTATCATTTTTGTTCTGTTTTTATTCTTTTTTTCAGCATTGATCAATGGCTTTCTGTAAACATTATACTATCTTTTGAATTCAAGTTTGATACTAGTTTCTAATTTTAATTTGTACAAAAAAGTTTTATCTTAAAACATTATATAAAAAAATCATAACAAAAACACATGATGCATCAGTTCTTAAGGTTATCATAATTTATTGGGTTCTCAAATGAAACCCAAGTTTAAATGCTTGACCAATTCATAAGAGGACCTACAATACCCTCTAGAGGACCTACAATACCCTCTGAAATGTTGTAAAAGAAAATATGCAGTATTAAAATGCATATAGTACCATCCTTTTAATATTGCACCGTTTAATGTGAAGACTCCATGCATAATAAATGTGGTAAAGCAGTTTTGTGCAAAAACATATGATGTCCACGATATTTGAGAAAATTCTCATGGTTTTTATACGATTGGAAAAGAAAAGATTAATTGGAGTAATAACTTACTGTTTTTGTGAACGAAACTTGAGGTAGTCTTGCTTGATCCGGAAAATCTATGACAAATTGAATTATTATGAAAAGGTTATAGTTAAGAGAAAGAAAATATTTAATTGACGAATTTGGATTGTTGAAAATGAAACATCATTAGGCTGAACAAAATGGGAATGAAAAAGGCAATACCGCAACAGGTCTAGATTGGTCATCGTGACCGGCAACATAAGCCATGCCGTCAGCTATTTCGCCGGAAAACTCATCAGCTATTAGATTATCTGTAATTGGAAATTAACAACGTTAGAAATGAAACTATAAAAGAGAAAGTGAAATTTAATTTTAACTTTTTTGGATAGATTACTTTAATCATGAGACTGTATTTTGAGTACTTTAATTCATGGAGCAAGTAATTCAAAGCCGAAAAGCAAGATTCTCTCGCATTGTCTCTCAGACTAGATATAGAACAAATAAAGGATGGTATATGATTTCGAAAGAAGCATGTATAAAAAGAGGAGATTCAAATTTCACTCCCGTGGTCCAAAAAAGTAAAATCTTACTTTTTACATCAGATATAATTACAAATCATGTGTAATGATATTATAATAATCACAACCACATGGGAGAATGTTTTTGCATATTACTAATTTTCATTCTTTTTCATCTTCAAAAACAATAACAGTTTTATTTAATTTACTGTCATTATCTTATATATATATATATATATATATATATGTTTAAATTAAAAAAAAAGTATGACACAGAAATAACTTTATTGTAATCAAATAACAAATATGAAAACCTAGAAACCTTGATTAATATTAATATCATAATTATAGAAATTTGAGCAACTTATAACGAAAATGTGTTACGATTTCCTTTTTCTAGAATAGAGATAGTAATATAAAATGATTTCTTAAGAAACAAAACAAAAATGGAAGATCGAAAAGAGTAGCCTCCATTGATTTACAATGACAATGAGCAAACAACGATTTCTAGCGTAAACAATTTCATTAAACTAAATATATGTTTCATTGATTGAGAGGTAGCTTTATCACATGCTTTCCGATTTTCAAAATTGAAAGAATTAATCACCTCACTTAAATAATCAGCAGTAAATTCGTATAATTAAGCTTAACAGATCACCGGTGACAATAGAAAGCAAAGAAGAAGAAGATGATATACCGACGCCTAGGTTTTCTCTCCATGAGAGACAAGCACGCAGCTGCTTGGCAGCTTTCTTCACACTCTCGCCTTTGGCTTTCAAAAATCTCCCTACACAAGCTTCATTACAAAATTTCTCCTGCAAATTAATACAGATGAATTGATTACTTCTTCAGATCGATTTACAGGAACAGAAATTAATTAATCTACACAAACAAATTAATGAAGATCATGAGAAGAAGATGGATACACAGAGATATATCGATTCATTGAAACCTGTTTGAGAGTGAGCGGAGATGGCTTCCTGAGGAGATGAAGAACAGCTTGGACTCTGTTTTTCTCGATCTGCGTTTGATGTTGTTGAGCAGAAGCGTGATCTTTGTTCCCCATTTTGAAGGTGGAATAAGAAATCAAAGTATAATTATGAAATCTCTGAAGAAAAGCAAGAAACAACAGAGATTCTGTATCGTGACTTCCCTATCACGCATTCATTTTAAACACACTTAATCTCCCTCCACTGGACTTGCGATGCGAGTAAGAGACTGTGTGTGTGTGTATGTGAGAGAGAGAGAATGTGTGTGTGTGTGTGTGTATCAATGTGTTTTGGGGAGGGGAGGGGAGGGGTACGTATTTATAAGCGTAACGGAATCCGTTATGTGAACTGGAAACACATCAACAGTAAGATGGGAGTCAAAATCATGACGGCAGGAAAGTCGAGTCCTAACGGCAACTGTTGGGACCCATTATTTACTTTCCACTTTTACCCCTTTCTTCTTTACCTTCAAACTTCAAAATCTATGAATAAAATAAATTATTTTTTTTAAATATATTGATTTTGACTCTAATTTCTCGACTTGTATTTTAATAATCATTGAAAAAACTTAATCATTATTTTCAGATGATGATTTTAAATGTTCATATAATAATT